AGTCCGTCCTCCGGCACCGCCAGCCCCCGCCCCGCTCCCGGGACGCCTGCGGCCCCAGACCTCGCTCGGCCCCTACCGCTCCCACAGCCGCGGCTCACTTTACACAGAGTCCGGGCGCTCGGTCCACTCCACGGTCCCCCGCGAGCCCTGGCCCCTCTGGCGGCCTAGCCCCCAGCCTGTGGCCTCCCGTCCAGTCCTCACCATTGTGAAGAGCTGCGCTCCGTCACACACGTTTGCTGATGATCCCTGACTACGTGCCAGAAACTACAGGAGCGCCCAGGAAAGGACGCGAAGAAAACAGCCCTCTGATGAGGGACTAGCTCTGTTGAGAAAGCTAAGAAAGGCGCGGAATCAGTAAAGTTCCATAGAAGGAGAAACGGGGGAGGGGGCGCTGAGAACAATCAGAGCTTCGAAATGACTTAAGAGAATCTGGTGGGGGGCTGTTGTTAAAGACACCAGAGGTTATTAAGGAGAAGGGATGTAACAGTGGTTGAGCTTCTGCTAGGGGACAGCTCCCTTAATACCTTGTCTTCTCATTTCATTGTTACCCTCCTATTACAAGTAGGGACCAAAAACAATTGTGGTAGACTCTCCCCTGAATCATGGCAGGACCCCACCTACATCAGGACCTAAGCTCCATTGGGTTTTCAGTGGCTGTGACCTTTCAGAAGTAGATCTCAGGGCCTTTCTTCCAGGCCGCTTGGTGGACTTGAACCCTCACACCACCCTGCTGACAAAAAGGACACTTGGTTTTAAACACTTTACGTTACTTGCTTTTAAAATGCTTTTCTTCTTTCTTTCAAAGTCTTAATGTTAATAGGCCTATGAGGTGCACATTTACCTCAGGTAGAAGAACATCTAAGGATGTTCTTACTCCTTAGAACAATCAGCCACAGAAGATTAGAAGGGCAGTATGTGCACAGGGTGCCAGCTGAGAGGGCAGGAATGCATAGGAAAGAAGGACCCAGGGAAGAGGTAGCTTCAGGGACGAAGTGGGAAGAGACCTATTACAGTATGGGGCTTGTAATCACTGTCATGAAATAAAATGTGTGTGGACTGTTGAATGGAAAATGAATATGTTCTGCAAACTTGCACCCAAATCACAATAAAAAAAAGTTTTTAAAAAAATTAATTAAAAAACCAAAGCACAACAAAGTCTTACTGTCAACGCTACACCTTCCAACCTCAGCAAAGCAAAAGTGCGTATTCTGGGAACTGTACTGAGGGGTTTAAAGGTCTGGTTTTCACTGGAGTGGTCCAAG